ACTGTCCTACAGTCACTGTGTATCTAGTGTTTTGTCGGTCTTTCTTTCACTCCAACTGTCCAACTGTTATCTACAGTCACTGTGTATCTAGTGTTTTGTCGGTGCACTCCAACTGTCCTACAGTCACTGTGTATCTAGTCTTTTGTCGTTCTTTCTTTCACTTTAACTGTCCTACAGTCACTGTGTATCTAGTGTTTTGTCGGTCTTTCTCCCACTCCAACTGTCCTACAGTCACTGTGTATCTAGTGTTTTATCGGTCTTTCTTTCACTCCAACTGTCCTACAGTCACTGTGTATCTAATGTTTTGTCGGTCTTTCTTTCACTCCAACTGTCCTACAGTCACTGTGTATCTAGTGTTTTGTTGGTCCACTCCTACTGTCATACAGTCACTGTGTATCTAGTGTTTTGTCGGTCTTTCTTTCACTCCAACTGTCCTACAGTCACTGTATATCTAGTGTTTTGTCGGTCTTTCTTCCACTGCAACTGTCCTACAGTCACTGTGTATCTAGTGTTTTGTCGGTCCACTCCAACTGTCCTACAGTCACTGTGTATCTAGTGTTTTGTCGGTCCACTGCAACTGTCCTACAGTCACTGTGTATCTAGTGTTTTGTCGGTCCACTGCAACTGTCCTACAGTCACTGTGTATCTAGTGTTTTGTCGGTTTTTCTTTCACTCCAACTGTCCTACAGTCACTGTGTATCTAGTGTTTTGTCGGTCCACTGCAACTGTCCTACAGTCACTGTGTATCTAGTGTTTTGTAGGTCCACTGCAACTGTTCTACAGTCACTGTGTATCTAGTGTTTTGTCGGTCTTTCTTCCACTGCAACTGTCCTACAGTCACTGTGTATCTAGTGTTTTGTCGGTCCACTCCAACTGTCCTACAGTCATTGTGTATCTAGTCTTTTGTCGGTCCACTGCAACTGTCCTACTGTCACTGTGTATCTAGTGATTTATCAGTCTACTGCAACTGTCCTACATTCACTGTGTATCTAGTGATTTGTCGGTCTTTCTTCCACTCCAACTGTCCTACAGTCATTGTGTATCTAGTGTTTTGTCGGTCCACTGCAACTGTCCTACAGTCACTGTGTATCTAGTGTTTTGTCGATCCACTGCAACTGTCCTACAGTCACTGTGTATCTAGTGTTTTGTCGGTCTTTCTTCCACTCCAACTGTCCTACAGTCACTGTGTGTCTAGTGTTTTGTCGGTCTTTCTTCCACTGCAACTGTCCTACAGTCACTGTGTATCTAGTGTTTTGTCTGTCCACTGCAACTGTCCTACAGTCACTGTGTATCTAGTTTTGTCCTTGATGATGATGATGCTGATAATGATGAGAGGTCTAAAAAAATATAAGTCTAGCCTTATGTGCCCAATGAACCACTGATCTGTAAAGGGATCTTTACTGTACAATATAATATATGTAAAAGAGACAAGATGATCCCTGTTTTAGTGGGATCGCTACATGAGATGCGACGGGTCACCTGATCCTGTCAACCAACGAGAAATCAACACGTACATTAGTCTCCGCCAGGAGGACACCACCAGGGACGATGCCGCCTGCGTCTTTGAGGACAGTCTGATGGACTTGCAGGTAACCGTCCTGGTGATAGTGTCCCTTACTGTTGGTTGTAAGTTTCCTATGTTGTAAGTTTCCTGTGTTGCTGGTTGTTTTTCTCCTGCATTGTAAGTTTTTTGGGTTGTAAGCTAGTTTTCTGAATTGTTGGTGTAAATTTCCTTGGTTGTATGTTTTCTGGGTTGTAAATTTCCCAGGCTTTAAGTTTCATTGGCTGTTGGTGGTTGATTTAATGAGCTATTAGTTTTTAGTGTTACTAAGCAGTTAATCTTCTGGCTTGTTGGTTGTTAGTTTTGTGGTTTGTTGATTGTTAGTTGTACAATGTTTTTCCTGGGCTGTTGTTTGTAATTTCCTGGGTTATTGGTTTTTAGTTTTCATGAATTTGTAATTTTCCGGCCGGGGGGGGGGGGGGGGGGGGGGGGGGGGGGGGGGGGGGGGGGGGGCTAAGGGTTAGATGGGTTGATTATTAATTTCCTGGGTTGTTACTTTTCTTGTTTATCAGTTTCCTGGGTTGCACGTTGCCTCGGTTGTTAGCTGTTACATTCCTAGGTTGCTGGTTTTTAAATTCCTAGGCTGTTGTTGGTTAGACTCCTGTGTTTTTGTTTGTTAGATTCCTGGGTTCTTGGTTTTTAGTATCTTGGACTGAAGGTTGTTAGTATTCTGGGTTGTTCGTATTTAGGTTGTTGATCGTTAGTTTTCTGGGTTCTTAGTATCCTGATACATAGAAAGGCAAGTAAATCAATGGTGAGATATTTACTGAATAGAACAATGAATAGCCAATTAAACGTAAGATATTGACTGATACATACACAGAATAGCCAATAACACCTGAGATATAGACTGATAGATACAAAGTTGATCACATATGGGATGTTGACTGATATGTACATAGTTTAGAGAATCATGCATGAGATACTGAATGATGCGAGCTTACAAAGTATAGCCAACCACACGCAAGATATTTATTGATGCCTACAAAGAATAGCCAATCACACACGAGATATTGACTGACGCATAGAAAGAATAGCCAATCACACACGAGATATTGACTGACACACAGAAAGAATAGTCAATCACACACGAGATATTGACTGATACATAGAAAGAATAGCCAATCACACACGAGATATTGACTGACAGATAGAAAGAATAGTCAATAACACACGAGATATTGACTGATACAAGCTTACAAAGAATAGCCAACCACACGCGAGGTATAGACTGATGCCTACAAAGAATAGTCAATCACACACGAGATATTGACTGATGCGAGCTTACAAAGTATAGCCATTCACACACCAGATATTGACTGATACGAGCTTCCAAAGAATAGCCAATCACACACGAGATATTGACTGATGCCTACAAAGAATAAAAAATCACACACAAAATATTGACTGATACGAGCTTACAAAGAATAGCCAACCACATGTGAGGTATTGACTGATACATACAAAGAATTGCTAATCATACACGATATTTTCATAGAAGCAAAAAGAACTAAATTGTCACTATATTGTCTAATAACTTAAAATGTTTTCAGCTGGTCAAGGAGTTAGAGTTTCTGTTGCTGAACTCACCTCTGGATTTGATGTCCGAAGAAGAGAGGCACGTCCATCAACAGGTGATAATTAAAAGTACAATTCGGTAATATGTAATGTTAAAGTGTCAAAATAATGTTCATATGTATTATCAAAGGGAAATAAGAATGTTAATTTGTAATATTATAGTTGAGTGGAGTTGATTTGAGTCAAGAATTGACTCAAGGCATTCCAATGAATGCTTCGCTCCGTCCTCATCTTCAGCAGCCAGCGCAGATTTCCAGTACTGATAGTACGGGTCACAATCTGGTTACATGTCCGTCTTGCCTTTCCTTTGAGTGTAGTGAGCCGGCCAGACCCTCTGGTTACACCCATTCTCTCTAGGCCAACATGAATCTCTACTGACTCCGTTGCATGTTCTCAAAGGGCCTTGACCACATCTGCCTTGGCATAAGTCATATTAAAGTGTAACAATAATATTATTATGTATGATAAGCATGCGATAAGAATGTTCATTTGTAATGTTAAGATGCCATAATAGGGTTAAGATATCATAATAATGTTAAGATGTCATAATAATGTTAAGATGTCATAATAATGCTAAGATGTCATAATAATGTTAAGATGTCATAATAATGTTAGGCTGTCATAATAATATTAAGATGTCATAATAATGTTAAGCTGTCATAATAATATTAGGATATCATAATAATGTTAAGATGTCGTAATAATGTAAAGATGTCATAATAATGTTAAGCTGTCAAAATAATATTAGGATGTAAAAATAATGTTAAAATGTCATAATAGTGTTAAGATGTCATAATAGTGTTAAGATGTAATAATAGTGTTAAGATGTCATATTAATGTTAGGATATAATAGTGTTAAGATATCATAATAGTGTTAAGATGTCATAATAATGTTAAGCTGTCATAATAATGTTAAGCTGTCATTATAGTGTTAAGATGTCATAATAGTGTCGAGATATCATAATAGTGTTAAGATATCATAATAGTGCTGAGATATCCTAATAGTGTATAGATATCATACTATTGTTATGCTGTCATAATAGTGTTAAGATATCATAATAGTGTTAAGTGGTCATAATAATGTTAAGCTGTCAAAATAATATTAGGATGTAATAATAATGTTAAAATGTCATAATAGTGTTAAGATGCCATAATAGTGTTAGGATATCATAATAGTGTTAAAATGTCATAATAATGTTAAGATGTCATAATATTGTTAAGATGTCATAACAATGTAAAGCTGTCATAATAATGTTAAGCTGTCATAATAATGTTAAGATATCATAATAGTGTTAAGATGTCATAATAGTGTTGAGATGTCATAATAATGTTAAGATATCATAATAGTGTTAAGATATCATAATAGTGTTAAGATGTCATAGTAATGTTAAGATGTCATAATAAGGTAAAGATGTCATAATAATGTTAAGATGTCCTAATAATGTTAGGATGTCCTAATAATGTTTATCATCATCATCATCATCATAAACCGCTTCTGCGGTTAAGCGTCGTGGGGAGGAATAATTTGCGATCCAGTGCACATTGGCTACCACTGGCTATTGTCACGCCGTTAATGTTGTCAGTCCATATTTTCCGCGGCCGTCCCTTTGCTCTTGTAGATGATCTTCTGAGATGTAGTGCTTGTGATGGTATTTGATCTTGCTGCATTCTAACGAGATGGCCAAACCACTTGATCTGCTTTTTCTCGATGAATCTAATACAATGTGTCGTTCCAACAGTTTGCCTGATAGTTTCATTATTGACGCGATATCTGATGGTTAGGTTGGCTGCTTTTCTCAAGCACCTCCTCTCACACGTGGTGATTTTACGTACATTGGCTTTAGATAGTGTCCATGTTTGGCCCTTGTAGCTTAATGTTGGAATGAATATGCTGTTAATTATCTGTCTCTTTGCACTCATAATTATGCTTGGATGTCTTAATAATGTTAAGATGTCACAGTAATGTTAAGATGTCATGCTATAATGTAATAATATAGTCAATATGTTACGTTGATATGCAATAAGAATGTTATTACGTAATGAGTAAATGAGTGAATGATTTTAAACCACACTTAGGACGGCTGGCTGGGCGATTCACATCCTGTGACGCAAAGTGCAATGCGTCATTACTAGGATGATATTCTCTAGGTCAATTCCCAGAAACCCATTCAACTGTGAGTTTATATTAGGGAGCCCGACGGTTACAAAATAACTTGAAGTCCACAACTGGGTGGAGATGGTATATCCACACAAACACACAAACACACACGCACGCACACACACACACACACACACACACACTCACACACACACACACACACAGAGAGAGAGAGAGAGAGACCCACACCCACACAAATTAACTCATGTAGGAGTGGGAGAATTTGTAATGGTTTTAGAGACGTATGGTGAGAATATCCTGGACAGATAAAAAGAGTAATGAAGACGTCTTGAAAGAAACTGACTTACGAAGAGAACTGATTGCCCACATCAGAAAGAGACAATCTACATTCTGTGGTCATGTGATAAGAAGGAGAAAACGAGTCCATCGTGACGGTGGGAACGTTGGAGGGGAGAAGAGGCAGAGGGAGACCAAGAGAAAATATGCTGGACGGTTTGACATCATGGTCTGCAGAATCATCCGTATCAGAGTTAATTAAAAGTACACGAGACAAAAGTTTGGGATAGACATGACTATCAACATAACACGGCATGGACTTTAGGAGTTGTATACAATTTATTTATAGTTCAGTTAAACAGTGCGATGTTGTGTCACCGTGTTGTCACTGTTCATTGTTCATTAAGTTCTTTCCATTTCTGACAGTGAAGATGCCATAGATTGGGTGTTTTTTTTATTTTTATATTCGAGACTCATTCAGTCAGTCCCATTCCCCCCCCCCCCCCCAGTTCTTTCTGTGTCTGCCTGTTCTATTTTCTCTTGTACCGAGCTGGCTTTGTTGTATGGTATTCAAAAGGTCTCTAGACCTTATTATCTGCGTTTGAATTCCGTATGCACAAAACTGTGTCCACTAGGCAATATACAGCCACGGTCCCATGTAAACTGTTGTGGCCGCTTTCACCACGCTACAGTACACTACGACTTGCTATGTCAAGATATACCAAGACACGCTACAGTACACCACGTCATGTTATGTCACTATACATCAAGCCACTCTACAGTACATCACGTCATGCTATGTCACGACACACCAAGCCACTCTACAGTACACCACGTCATGCTATGTCACTTTATATCAAGCCACGCTACAGTACACTACGTCATGCTATGTCACTATACATCAAGCCACTCTACAGTACACCACGTCATGTTATGTCACTATACACCAAGCCACGCTACAGTACACCACGTCATGCTATGTCACTATATACCAAGCCACGCTACAGTACACCTTGTCATGCTATGTCACTATACATCAAGCCACTCTACAGTACATCACGTCATGCTATGTCACTATACACCAAGCCACGCTACAGTACACCACGTCATGCTATGTCACTATACACCAAGCCACGCTACAGTACACCACGTCATGCTATGTCACTATACATCAAGCCACTCTACAGTACACCACGTCATGCTATGTCACTATATACCAAGTCACGCTACAGTACACCACGTCATGCTATGTCACTATACACCAAGCCACGCTACAGTACACCACGTCATGCTATGTCACTATACATCAAGCCACGCTACAGTACACTCCGTCATGTTATGTCACTATACATCAAGCCAGGCTACAGTACAATCTGTCATGTTATGTCACTATACACCAAGCCAGGCTAAATTACACCACGTCATGCTATGTCACTATATACCAAGCCACGCTACAGTACACTCCGTCATGTTATGTCACTATACATCAAGCCAGGCTACAGTACAATCCGTCATGCTATGTCACTATACACCAAGCCAGGCTACATTACACCACGTCATGCTATGTCACTATACACCAAGCCAGGCTACAGTACACCACGTCATGCTATGTCACTATACATCAAGCCACTCTACAGTACACCACGTCATGCTATGTCACTATATACCAAGTCACGCTACAGTACACCACGTCATGCTATGTCACTATATACCAAGCCACGCTACAGTACACTCCGTCATGTTATGTCACTATACATCAAGCCAGGCTACAGTACAATCCGTCATGTTATGTCACTATACACCAAGCCAGGCTACATTACACCACGTCATGCTATGTCACTATATACCAAGCCACGCTACAGTACACTCCGTCATGTTATGTCACTATACATCAAGCCAGGCTACAGTACAATCCGTCATGCTATGTCACTATACACCAAGCCAGGCTACATTACACCACGTCATGCTATGTCACTATACACCAAGCCAGGCTACAGTACACCACGTCATGCTATGTCACTATACACCAAGCCAGGCTACAGTACACCACGTCATGTTATGTCACTATACACCAAGCCAGGCTACAGTACACCACGTCATGCTCTGTCACTATATACCAAGCCAGGCTACAGTACACCACGTCATGCTATGTCACTATACACCAAGCCACTCTACAGTACACCACGTCATGCTATGTCACTATACACCAAGCCAGGCTACAGTAAACCACGTCATGCTATGTCACTATACACCAAGCCAGGCTACAGTACACCACGTCATGCTATGTCACTATACACCAACCCAGGCTACAGTACACCACAAGTCTTCTCATTGTTAGTGTTTATCTACTGTTCGTCCAATTCTGGATTTAAGTCATGTCCCAGGACTTGACTTTTTGTGTGCAGATCCGTTTTACAGATCTGGCTTATTTATTCCCAGTCTTCTGGTTCCCTGCCTCTCATTCAAAATTTACCCCGACTTTGAGTTAAGCTTCCCTACTAGTTAGTCGCCATTTACGACATGCTTATAAGGAGGAAATAGGTCTATACCCCCAGATATCCTAAATGGGATCCCTTAACCCCCCTCGCCCCAGATATTAACACATATCTAATAACCTGCCTGGTCCTGTTTACGTTTTCCGGCCCATTGACTCAATGTCTGACCTTTCATTCCTACTTTCTCAGACTATTCTACGTCAGAGGGGTGTCACGTTGTCTTGCGCCCAGTTACATCAGCACCGTATTCTAAACTACCTGACGATGCTGCTTTCAACGGCCTCAGAACATGTAGAACTGCCCCCCCCCCCTCCATCCCCTTCTTTCCCCACAGCCCCAACCGAGGTCACACGGGAGACTATTTTCGAAGAAAGCAGTTCAACGGGACATACCTCTGATTTAGATCAGACTGAGAAAATGTGTAGATGGGCGGGGAAACGTGAACAGGTCCCCATTCCTTATGCAGACGATAGACACGCTGAGAGGGTTGATCCTGTCTAAGCTGGACATGGCAACCCTGCGCGTGCTGTGTGAAGCCACGTACCTGGCCCACAAGGAAACGGGAAACCTGGAGTACACCGCCTGCATAGACGACATCGATCTGTGCATCTGGGGCAACATCATGAAGAACCCAAGGTACACACTGTTTGTGATGGTGTGTATGTGCCTATACGTAAGTGTGCAGGTATATGTGTGTGCATAGGTGCGCTGGGGGGGGGGGGGTACTAGTAACGTACTTCGCCCCAAACAAACACTGGTTAGCCTTCACACGCGTTAGTCTATGTTACAGGGGTGTCACGTTGTGTTGTCTCCGATGCTGTAACCGGCGTTGTCAGGTGTTCTATATATTTTATATTACGACGATATTTATATTATTATATACAATGTGATGGCTTTTAACAACCCTAGAACACATAGAACTGACCCTAACCCCAACGCCCCTACCCTACAGCCTCAGCCTACGTCCCACGAGAAACTTTAGCCTACGTCCCACGAAAGACTACAGCCTACGTCCCATGAGAGACTACAGTCTACGTCCACGAGAGACTACAGCCTACGTCCCACGAAAGACTACAGCCTACGTCCCACGAGAGACTACAGCCTACGTCCTATGAGAGACTACAGCCTACGTCCCACGAGAGACTACAGCCTACGCCCCATGAGAGACTACAGCCTACGTCCCACGAGAGACTACAGCCTACGTCCCATGAGAGACTACAGCCTAGGTCCCACGAGAGACTACAGCCTATGTCCCACGAGAGACTACAGCCTACGTCCCACAAGAGACAACAGCCTACGTCCCACGAGAGACTACATCCTACGTCCCACGAGAGTACAGCCTACGTCCCATGGTTTGAAGTATATTCGTGTCGTACTTGAAATCCGAGAAGGTTATAATATACACAAAAGCGGTCACGTCGTGTGATACAGAACACGCGACATCATTGGTGAGAGCATCGAAGACAACACACTGGGACGCTCCTAAAACATAGACTCGTGCGTGTAAAAGCATGAACGAAAGGCCAGCCAGTGTTTGTTTGGGGCGAAACACGTTACTAGTACCTGCGTGGGTGTATGTCTGACACGTGCGGTCATTCTGCTGCGTAACCACCGACCTGGCCGCATCGAGATACCAGCTAAATGATTTTGTGTATCTATGTATTATTGTTTAATGTATATATGCTGATGAAGGCTCAAAAGCAACGTTTTGTTTGTATTTGTTTTATTGTGAAGCTTGCTAATATACTTTTCGTTCGGGTTTATATCTTTTCTTGATATGTGTATCTATAGGAATGTGTGTTTGCTGGCATGTGTAATATTACATGTAGGTGTATACCTAACGGTGTTTTAATTTGTCTTTCTTTGCAGAATTAGAATGTTTGAATTCGAAAACTTCAATTACTCGTTCGACATTCCAAAGACATTGGCCCTGACAGATTGTGCCGTGCGCATGCTAACAACCACGTTTGATAATTACTCTCCGACTAGCCGAACAATGGCGCCACGCTTGAAGAGGATAGAAGGTCAGTTCGTGATCGATCGACCGGTTTGTCCCCTCCGGGACTCTACCTAAAGGTTTACCATACCTTTTTGAGATTTAAGAATCTCAATATGGATGACAGACCAGTAAAGCAGATCCCAGATACCCACGCAACCTCCAAAGAAGTTATTAGGGTACCATCAACGACCATACCAGCCGTACTATCTGGTTAGTTAGTTGATCTTTCCTCTTGAGCCTAGGGCATAGGTCATAGGTCATACTTCACCACGACTGACGGTTCGTTCCCACCTGTTTTAGGCCGTGAATGCTCATTTGACCCATGGTTGAGCCTTCCCTGATGATGGTTCTGTGACGGGTCTCTCTTGGTCTTCCCCGTTTTGTTTTCCCTTCCGGTGTAGATGTGAGGGCTTGATGGAGGTGTCTTGTCTGATCCATTCTGAGTGCATGGTCGATGTACCTATCCGTTTAAGGATGCATGGTCGATGTACCTATCCGTTTAAGGATGCATGGTCGATGTACCTATCCGTTTAAGGATGCATGGTCGATGTACCTATCCGTTTAAGGATGCATGGTCGATGTACCTATCCGTTTAAGGATGCATGGTCGATGTACCTATTCGTTTAAGGATGCATGGTCGATGTACCTATCCGTTTAAGGATGCATGGTCGATGTACCTATCCGTTTAAGGATGCATGGTCGATGTACCTATCCGTTTAAGGATGCATGGTCGATGTACCTATCCGTTTAAGGATGCATGGTCGATGTACCTATCCGTTTAAGGATGCATGGTCGATGTACCTATCCGTTTAAGGATGCATGGTCGATGTACCTATCCGTTTAAGGATGCATGGTCGATGTACCTATCCTCCGTTTAAGGATGCATGGTCGATGTACCTATCCGTTTAAGGATGCATGGTCGATGTACCTATCCGTTTAAGGATGCATGGTCGATGTACCTATCCGTTTAAGGATGCATGGTCGATGTACCTATCCGTTTAAGGATGCATGGTCGATGTACCTATCCGTTTAAGGATGCATGGTCGATGTACCTATCCGTTTAAGGATGCATGGTCGATGTACCTATCCGTTTAAGGATGCATGGTCGATGTACCTATCCGTTTAAGGATGCATGGTCGATGTACCTATCCGTTTAAGGATGCATGGTCGATGTACCTATCCGTTTAAGGATGCATGGTCGATGTACCTATCCGTTTAAAAATGCATGGTCGATGTACCTATCCGTTTAAGGATGCATGGTCGATGTACCTATCCGTTTAAGGATGCATGGTCGATGTACCTATCCGTTTAAGGATGCATGGTCGATGTACCTATCCGTTTAAGGATGCATGGTCGATGTACCTATCCGTTTAAGGATGCATGGTCGATGTACCTATCTGTTTAAGGATGCATAAATTCATGAGTTGATTGGTCCCTTTTCCACGCCTTTAGGCGTGAATGGCATTTAGGGCTAGACCTATATTTTTATAGAGCAATTGGCACTAAATGGTTAATGTGGTCAGCATCAAGCTCGTTGCCTTTACTTCCCGGGACTGCACCCAGTACCCATTAAACGCTGGGTGGACCTGTGAGTCAAGGTTATTTTTTGAAAAAAATCTGGCTCTGCCAGGGAGCGAACCCACAACCTTCCTATCCGCACTCGAGCGTCTAGCCGCTACGCCACGGCGACTCCACTTCAGCAAGTGTCAGCTGTTCAATTCCACCATTTCGGCGCGTAAGTTATTTGGTTCTTCTTCTTTTTCTTCAGCAAGCCCTTGGGGTTCACTGCTGCAGATATCATCAGCCTCCATTCATCTCTCTGGTTGGCCATCTCTTTCCAGTTGGTGACACCAAATGTTTGCAGGTCGGCCTGAATATTATCTCTCCATCATCTTTTTGGTCTGCCTCGTGGTCTACGACCATTCATCTCTCTTGTGTACACAGTTTTTACCTCTCTGTCATCTGACATTCTTTCACTTTGTCCCAACAATTTCAGGCTATTATGAATTTCATTGTTACTTCTCACTCTCCATTCCCCGCTTAATATGCGGGTGTAGGTATGTAGGATAACTTATCTGGTTGGATACTTGATTCGCTAACTAGCTAATTAAATAAATAATTACGACGTACATAGAAATGCCTGCAAACCAACTGATATCAAGAAATGCCTGCAATCCAACTGATATCAAGAAATGCCTGCAATCCATTTGATATCAAGAAATGCCTGCAATCCTTCTGATATCAAGAAATGTCTGCAATCCATCTGATATTAAAAAATGCCTGCAATCCATCTGATATCAAGAAATGCCTGCAATCCATCTGATATCAAGAAATGCCGGCAATCCAACTGATATCAACTGATAGGATTTCTTGCAATCGCAGATATCAAGAAATGCCTGAAATCCGATATCAAGAAATGCTTAATACAATACAAGCTTCGACTTGACAGTTGGGCGGAAGGAGCAGTCAGACTGGCCGGCCGGTTGTGCACCACTTGGTGGTGAACTGGTGCATGATAATCTAGATGTTGTAAGCGCCGTTTTGGAACGAGAGACAGTGCGTAGGCGAAGAGTTAACCAGGAGATCTGGCTGAAGCTCAAGACTCCAGGGAAAGGCGAGGCGGATATTCAATATGCAATCAGTTTCTGGTGCCCTCTGAATTGGAACTCTTCGCTTACTGCTGAAGATGGAGACGGAGCACTTATAGGAGTATCCCGAGTGATGTGGATTCCTAATTTAACATTCAACGGAAGGAATGGAAAAGAAGCGCAAGACAGAAACGACTGCATTTCTAGTGACATGGCTACCGTGACTATTTATAAGTTTTGTTGTCCTATCCTTGAGCTTTTCTGCCACTTGTTTGTGTTGTCGCTGGAACCTCTCCGTTTTTCCGGACGTTAGTCTTATATTGGGTTATGAAGGAGCATGAGACTCACAGCCCATGGCGACGGCGAGCGTGACTAGCAAGACCCGTCCATGTTGAGAAAAGTCTTCCACAATTATCGCATGGGATTTCATGGATCGTTGTTGTCAACATTTGTGTTTAGTCTGTTTCTTCTCAGAGGATCAGCTCTCATACTTTCTGCAATTATTTCTTCTTTCATTCTCACTCCTTTTCTGATGTGTCCCTCAACACACAAAACGGTCCAGGGCATTTAGTTCCTACGAGTCCACCTCTGTACCTGTATCATTCATGTCCCGCTTGCACAAATATTTATATCGTAGTAGAGGTCGGCCTCGACATCTTCTACCCATCTTTAATTCACCATTGGGGATGTCTTTATGGAGTCTGACATCCTTCATTCTCCAGGTGTGAGCTACCCATTTGAGCCTTCTTAGACTGAGCATTAAGAGGACTGTTTTAATACCTGCTCTATGTTTCTGTCCATCATCTTTTCTTCCATCATGTTTGTTTTCCATCATGTTTCTTTCCGCTGTATCACTCCCCCCCCCCCCACTCGCTTTTCCCCCAACTGTTTTTCCCCTGCAGTTTATTGATGGATTTCTCACACCGGCATTACAAGTCCATGGTTAAGCACCAGCAAGGAAATCACAGTCAACATTTTAATTTTCCTGTAGCAACATACGGATGTGAGTCGTGGACTATCTCTCATCTTCACTGTAGCAACATACGGATGTGAGTCGTGGACTATCTCTCATCTTCCCTGCAGCAACATACGGATGTGAGTCGTGGACTATCTCTCCGTCCTTAAGGAAGAAAATAAAATATTCATCCTGGTCCCCTTGATCAACGAAATTTTCGTTATTTTGAAGCCCCACTCGGGATGTTGCCGGGGACCCTAATCTAACCTAATGGTTGTACGGGGTTTCTTGGATCTCTCCACGGGTGATCCTCATCCGAATGGTGGCAATTTGTGTCACCAGTTGTTTATCGCTTGGTGTGATGTCCTGGTGGGGTGAAAAGTCCGTCAGAAACTACGGGCTTTTGAGCTGAAATGCAATAGAAAGATTTTTAGCATAGCATTGACCAAGAAGAAGAGAAATATTGGCATCCTAAAACATCTGAACATCAAGGAAGATTGGCTAATAAACAGCATCTTGTCTCGGAAACTGAAATATCTTGGTCCTATCAAGCGCCGTGGCAGAAATGGGGAAGGTTGGGGGAGGAGGGGGGAGATAGTAAAAGACATGGTGCCAAGAACTAGAAGCAACGATCAACACAAACATGGGTACAGGATATAATTGAGTCCTTGGGTATAAAGGTGCCTCTGGCGAGAGATCTGCCGAAATACTGAGTTTCTTTCAGGCAAACCGTGATGAGAGCGACGTTCTGCAAAGGATCTGCTTCATGTTGATGAGGACGATGATGATGATGGCGCATCTGGCATAAGACAGGAAACTACACCTAACTCCTCATGCGGCGCTTTACGGTAATAGGAATAGCACAAAATGCCGATTGTTACAAATATACAAATATAGATATAGCCCTATATGCCCTATACGCATAAAGGCCCGGCTCTCTAGCGTAGTTGGCTAAGCCGGACTACGCGGTGACCGGGTGACAAACTCCTTGTCGTCCGGGTTCAAGCCCGGAGGTAGGCAGAAAAGCCAAATTTCTCACAGATTTACGGTATTTATCATGGAATCAAGGCCGATGGGTTGCGATATCCATAATACCGAGCCCGAGGGTTAGCAACTCATGGCTTATGGATTAAAAAAAAAAAATGCGCCTAAAGGCATGGAAAAGCGACCTTTACTTTTTTTTTTTAAAACAGTATCACAAAATAAAAGGATGAATCTTTCCATTACCCCATTTCACCATCATTGACTCTCCCTTGTCAGTCGGTCACCTTCATAACGTTCATGTTACCACAGCCAAGCTGCAACCAATACTGGAATCGGAACCTACAGAGGAACAGAAAGAGGACGAAGAAAATGTACAAGATAGAGCCAGTAAGGCAGGCACAGGCGAGGAAAAAGACGACTCGGTTTCAATTATTAAACTGGTAAGTTTTTGTTGTTATCTTGTTTGTTTTTGTTTGTTTCTTTCTTGTTGTTGGTGTTGTTGTTGTTGTTCTTCTTCTTCTTCTTCTTCTTCTTTATCTTCTTCTTCTTCTTCTTCTTCTTTTGCTGCCGCTGCTGCTCCTTTTTTCATGTTCCTGTTCTTATAGGAAGAAAAATAAGAAGAAAAGGAAAATAATAATAATAATAATAATAATAATAATAATAATAATAATAAGAAGAAGAAGAAGAAGAAGAAGAAGAAGAAGAAGAAGAAGAAGAAGAAGAAGAAGAAGAAGAAGAGGAAGAGGAGGAAGAAGAAGAGACAAGACACATCTACAGACATTTCATGCACAGATGGATTATTACAAGGCTGTCAGATCGCGAGGTCTGTAGGTATTTCTGCAGGTATGTATGTAGGTATTTCTGCAGGTATGTATGTAGGTATTTCTGCAGGTATGTATATAGGTATTTCTGCAGGTATGTATGTAGTTATTTCTGCAGGTATGTATGTAGGTATTTCTGCAGGTATGTATGTAGGTATTTCTGCAGGTATGTAAATAGGTATTTCTGCAGGTATGTATGTAGGTATTTCTGCAGGTATGTATATAGGTCAAACCAAGTATTGGCACAGCTAGTCCCCCCCCCCCCCCTCTTACAGCATAAGACAATCCCAATCAGCACAAAGTGACATCTTATTCAAAGCATATTTATTCCAACTCTGTGCTACCACCAGTGCCAGACATGGTCACTCACAACAAACCATACGAGAAAATTAGTAACCATGGAAATGAGATGTCTGAGAAGGGCTGTAGGAGTGACCATAAGAGATAAGATCAGGATTGAGATCCTAAGAGAAAATTTCGGCACAGAACCAATTCTAAATTACATACAAAGACAGCAAGTGAAATGGTTTGCCCACTTAGAGAGAATGCCTTGTGATACCATACCATACAAAGCATACATGGAAAGAGAAGAAGGTCGTAGAGCAAGAGATAGACCAAGAACAATATGGAAGGATAGGTATGTAGGTATTTCTGCAGGTATGTATGTAGGTATTTCTGCAGGTATGTATGTAGGTATTTCTGCAGGTATGTATGTAGGTATTTATGCAGGTATGTATGTAGGTATTTCTGCAGGTATGTATGTAGGTATTTATGCAGGTATGTATGTAGGTATTTCTGCAGGTATGTATGTAGGTATTTCTGCAGGTATCTATGTAGGTATTTCTGCAGGTATGTATGTAGGTATTTCTGCAGGTATGTATGTAGGTATTTCTGCAGGTATGTATTTAGGTATTTCTGCGGGTATGTATGTAGGTATTTCTGCAGGTGTGTATGTAGGTATTTCTGCAGGTATGTATGTAGGTATTTCTGCAGGTATGTATGTAGGAATTTCTGCAGGTATGTATGTAGGTATTTCTGCAGGTATGTATGTTGGTATTTCTGCAGGTATATATGTAGGTATTTCTGCAGGTATGTATGTAGGCATTTTCTACAGGTATGTATGTAGGTATTTCTGCAGGTTTGTATGTAGGTATTTCTGCGGGTATGTATGTAGGTATTTCTGCAGGTATGTATGTAGATATTTATGCAGGTATGTATGTATGTAGGTATGCATGTAGGTATTTCTGCAGGTATGTATGTAGGTTTCTTCTGCAGGTATGTAGGTAGGTATTTCTGCTGGTATGTCTGTAGGTATTTCTGCAGGTATGTATGTAGGTATTTCTGCAGGTATGTATGTAGGTATTTCTGCAGGTATGTATGTAGGTAATTCGCAGGTATGTATGTAGGTATTTCTGCAGGTATGTATGTAGGTATTTCTGCAGGTATATATGTAGGTATTTCTGCAGGTATGTATGTGGGTATTTATGCAGGTATGTATATAGGTATTTCTGCATTTCTGCAGGTATGTATGTAGGTATTGCTGCAGGTATGTATGTAGGTATTTCTGCAGGTATGTATGTAGGTAATTCGCAGGTATGTATGTAGGTATTTCTGCAGGTATGTATGTAGGTATTTCTGCAGGTATATATGTAGGTATTTCTGCAGGTATGTATGTGGGTATTTCTGCTGGTATGTATATAGGTATTTCTGCATTTCTGCAGGTATGTATGTAGGTATTGCTGCAGGTATGTATGTAGGTATTTCTGCAGGTATGTATGTAGGTATTAGACGGGTTAGGTTTATGTTAGTCTCCCAAAACAAAGTAGGTCAAGGTTTCATTCACAAGTTTGGGCTGGTCTTCTTTAGTGCAGGTTATGATTGTGTCGCTCTGTTGATTCCTGTCTGGGTTGTCTTGCATTTACGTTTTTTTTTTCTTCTGAGAAAGAGAATGCCTGTGACATAGGTTGAAACATTTTTTCGGGGTTGGGGGGGGGGGGGGGGGTTGTATGGTGACAGTCTCAGAAACTACCATTCAGAAGTGAGCAAATGCGTATAGGGTGGTCCGTGGGGAGACAAACGTTAGTTGTACCTAGGCAGGTATTAGCTAGAAATGCAGTGGTAGGTAAGTGTGTAGGTATTGGGGATGTTTAATGTACGTAAAATAGTAGCTGAAGGCATGGTACCAAGAAGGAGGTGCAGTCGCCGACCAACACTAATATGGGCACAGAATATAAGTGACTCCTTGAAATTGAAAGTACATGAGCAGGCGAGAGACCGAGTTTTTTTCAGGCAGACCGTAATGAGAGCGACGTTCTGCAAATGACCTGCTATCTGGCTATAATCTTGATAGGTGTGTAGGTAGCGAGGTAGGTATATATTAGGTAGGTATGTTGGTAGGTATGGGTAGGTAAATAGGTATTTTGTATGTATGAACGTTGGTAGTAACGTCTTTTGTGCCTGGACAGAATATGGTGGCAGCCTCAGACATCTCAGTTCCGGGGACGCCTCACCCCAATGAGGACGAGGTGCAGGAGGTGATGGAAGAGGACTACCCAGATCCCCCAACACCAGGTTAGGAGCCACAGTCTCCTATTTGTGTGTGTGTGTATGTGCTGATGAAGTCTTTCTGCTCGTAACGTTCCTTCCGTCTTTCGTGGTTATGTTCTTGTAAAGCTTTAAGGTATTTTAAGGGAGGCGAATCGACTTCTTTGCTCATGTCTTTGTCCTCTATAGTTCAGTTTCTCATTGCTTAGATGCAGCTTTTTCATTTATAGACATCTGCATTCTGCCTTTACAGTAAAAAAAAAAAAAAGTAAAGATCCCTTTTCACGCCTATTAGCATCGGGCATATGGGAAGAGCGTCCCATATCTTTACAGACCAATCGGCACTAGGTGGGTCTTGTGGTCAGCATTACGCCGGCCGTCTTTACTACACTAATATATATATATATATATATATATATATATATATATATATATATATATATATATATATATATATATATATATATATATATATATAACAGACATTGTATTGATCGGCACTCATAGAAAGATAGAAGGGCAGACTAGACAACATAAAAATCGAAAGCTATAATTACCATCTTGGGAATCGAACCCAATACCTTGAAATGGCATGTTCACCTCTATATAGCAAACAAGTGTTTTAGGAAATTAACCAGCTAGACACCCCTAAAACTTTTTTTTTATACCACAAATTAGGCAAATGAAAACTAAATGTTTGTTTACATTTTAAAAAATACTAACAAAGACTTATTATTAATATGATGCATGTCAAATTTCTACAACTTAAACCGAACGTGTGGCCAACGCAACTATGGATACCGAGTATCCGCTGGGAGACATGGACACCTCTGGGGTGCCCTCTGCTGTTAGCAGGAGCATCACAGAGCGATCGAAAAGGTGATAAGGCTGAGGACATAGTCTAAAGCCACGTGAATGGGGAAAGCAAGGGGAAACTACTACATTAACATTTCAAGAAACTTTTTATGGAGAAGACTGGCTAATAAACAGCATCCTGTCTCCGAAACTGAAATATTTTAGTCATATCAAGCGCCACGATGAATTGGAAAAAATAATAGCAGAAGCCACGGTACCAGGAAGCAGTGGCAAGGGCCGACCAACACGACGATGGGCACAGGGTATAAATGACTTCTTGAATATTAAAGTTCATAAGGCCGGAGAGCAGGCGAGAGACCGAGTTTCTTTCAGACCGTGATGAGGGCGACGTTCTACAAAGGACCTGCTACATGAGGATGATGATGAGACCAAACGGTTAGTCAGTGACAGATTTTTTAAGTGTGACGCAATTTATGAAAAGTATCATACATGTTTGAATGCTATTGTTTTTCAGAGCCAGCGGAATTTGAAGAGCTCGAAGAAGAGGAGGATGTCATCGATCTTCGGGTTTATAGTGTGCTGGGCAGACTTTATCACTTCAATCTGCTACAGCTGCCGCCCCAGCCTCGTGTCGCAGGAGCCTGGACAATCACTCAATGTAACATTCTCCTCGACTTACAACTCATGCGACTTTCGACCATTTGCACTTCAACACAAAATAAATAAATACAAATAGTTAATAAGAACATTAACTACATTGGTAAAGTCCAAACCCAGAAAGACACGGGGCGACGTTCTGCAAATAACCTATATATATATAGGTTAGTTCCGTATACTTTACAGGACGTTGCAGAACAACACCAGCATTTTTTGGCTGTTGTGGTTTTCTAAACAAATTTTACGTTCAGTAGTTTGTCATTTCTCTCTAAACTGTCACTGTCAAAACCAAAGCAAGACAGACCGTACACAGCTGGGATCGAACCCCACAGTCCGGTATTACGAAGCGCGTTCACAACGCCTAAACCACAGACTCCGAAACACACACACATGTAGGGCTTTTATCTATGGCAGTACGCAACGTACCTAGTACCGGCACCTTCTTATGGCACCCTTTTTGGGCGTCACTGTAGTAGGCACTGTGTGGTTGATAACCCGCCACCATTGTCTATATAAACAAGGCCCTGTGCATACGTGTTTATTTTACAGGTATTTATAGTTCAGTAAAATTTGAGAGTTCCGCACACCAACAGACACAACCAACAATACACAAACATACACACACCAACAGACACAACCAACCATACACAAACATACACACGCCAACAGACACAACCACCCATACACAAACATACAAAAACACAGTTACATTGTTCATTTTTCATTTAGAGATCATCTTCATCGGATATGGTCATGGTCATCGGATATGGTCATGGTCATCGGATATGGTCATGGTCATCGGATATGGTCATGGTCATCGGATATGGTCATGGTCATCGGATATGACCATAAATGCTCCGATCTCCTCTTGAGTATGTCCCCAAGTGTTTTCAGGCTAACAACTCCCATTCTGTTTTGGGTAACTCCCGCATGGCTTCCCTGTCTCACTGCTCTAGTTGGTACGCACAGTGTTTGCAATCTAGTCAGCGACAGATTAGCATCTGCTCTCTCATTGCTTTTTACATACTCTCACACACACACACACACACACACACACACACACACACATGTATATATATTTACACACACACATATGTGTTGTGCTTGTGTTGGGGAAGAGGTGGGTGGGTATGGAACTCTAGATTTTAGTTTCAATAAAATGACAACCACTATAGGTACGGAACGAAAGTTAAATGCACGGAAAACAAATAACTAAAAGGACAGCGAAGTGACATGGAATTAATTCAAGGAAGTGGGAGAAATATGAGAAATGTCTAGACACTTGACGGCATCAGCAAAGAAGATGGTAATATGTTGGACACTTTCTGAAACGGAGCCAACAAATATGTGCCCCACAAAAATTCACTGTTTGTTCGTTCGTTCGTTCGATTTCAACTAACCACGTTCAACATCTGACACGGAGCTAGCCTCGTGCTTGTCAATGTAGGTTATGATATTGACGAATAATATGTAGTGAGAGGTGGACAAAGGTTATAGAGTGAGCCATGCCTTCTTTTGGGGTGCATTTCCCATCTACATACTACTCTTGGTACCAACGAATTGGGATTCGACTCAGATCTGAAGGATGACGACTCAGACTTAAAGTATGAAGACTCAGACTTGAAGGACGACGACTTAGATTTGAAGGATGACGACTCAGACTTGGTGGATGGCGACTTCGACCAACCTCTGCTAAACTACACACATTATGTCGAAGGATGTTTCAATATAGAAGGGAATAAATGAACTTACCGGGAGCCGTGTGTGCCTGTGAAGTTTATTCTTCTTTTTCCTCTTCTTCTTTTGTCACTTCACTGATACCAGGTTGTAGCCCAGTGTCGTGGTTTTGTCGAATCACTGATACCAGGTTGTAGCCCAGTGTCGTGGTTTTGTCGTCTCACTGATACCAGGTTGTAGCAAGGTGTCGTGGTTTTGTCGCCTCAGTGATACCAGGTTGTAGCCCAGTGTCGTGGTTTTGTCGTCTCACTGATACCAGGTTGTAGCCCAGTGTCGTGGTTTTGTCGTCTCACTGATACCAGGTTGTAGCCCAGTGTCGTGGTTTTGTCGCCTCACTGATACCAGGTTGTAGCCCAGTGTCGTGGTTTTGTCGTCTCACTGATACCAGGTTGTAGCAAGGTGTCGTGGTTTTGTCGCCTCAGTGATACCAGGTTGTAGCCCAGTGTCGTGGTTTTGTCGTCTCACTGATACCAGGTTGTAGCCCAGTGTCGTGGTTTTGTCGTCTCACTGATACCAGGTTGTAGTCCAGTGTCGTGGTTTTGTCGCCTCAGTGATACCAGGTTGTAGCCCAGTGTCGTGGTTTTGTCGTCTCACTGATACCAGGTTGTAGCCCAGTGTCGTGGTTTTGTCATTTGCCTTGCACTTCTTGGCTGATGGATTTGTTTGTGTTTTGCAGGTTTCGTCTAAACCATTTATCTGTGTTTTTTTTGTTTTTGTTTATCTTACTCTCGCCTTCCTCCCAGAGATGTTCTGCTATAAAAAGTCTCATTTGCAGTTTGGTCTGGCTGCATTCATACTAGATGGCCGAACCATTTAATTCTTTGTCAGTCAATATAATCCAGACATGGTCTTATTCCAACATTCTCTCTAATGCAGGTATTCGCAACCCTGTCTCTTTTTGTGTTGATAGTGACCTTGCGGAGACAGCATATTTCACATGTAATTATTTTATGTTCTAGTGCCCTGTTCATTGTCCATGTTTAGCACTGATAACATAAAGTAGGGATAAAGATGCGATTAATTATTTGTTGTTTTGCTGGAAGTTAAAGTTCTTAAAGAAATTTAAATGTCGATGCCGTCTACGCAGTGAAGGTTGGTGACAGTACACTCGCTGATGTCTTTGGGAATACAATATAGTGAGAACCCAGTCTCTTCCACGTTGTGACTCTCGTAGTATTGTCTAAAACAATGAGAGCCGGTTTATGACTAATGAAACGTCCTTCGCGGAAATCAAATCTAGTGCTCAAAGATTACGAGAGTGTTACACGCATTCACTAACCTCTATGCCAAAAAGCGGAACATAAAGCACGTGACAGGATGGCGTAAGGCAGGGCTGTTCAGTTGAGTGTGATCAGGGGCCAACATTTTTAGAATGGGGATCGCATCGTGCTAGAGGCCAAAGCTAACACAAAGATCGGTAATATAGAACAACTGGCGATGATCCGTGGGCCACTTGCTAAGTCTCCGAAGGCCGGATTTAACTTGCGGGCCGCCAGTTGAATAGCCCCAACATAGGGAATTCAGTTGTGAGGAAAACAAAGGTCAGATCAAGGCCGCTATCTGAAGGCACTGTAACACTTGCCATTGAGGACACACTCCTGGACGACCAGTTAACCTCACAGGACAGAAACAGATCATTATATTGAGATTGCTACTGGACACAAAAGACTCTGCAGCCGTATGTAAAAGCCATGACCTACTTGTTTTGCCATGTAGAACAGTTCAAGATCGGCCATTGAGAACTTTGCCCAGCGGGACACGAGCCACAGAATACTGAATACAAAGTCCAACAAATAATGAGACTGATTTTATTATGGCTAAGACAAAAATGCCATCTATGAATCACAACAAGGAATCCAAAGAGGCAACCTTCGTCTGTGATCTGGCAACTTTTAATCGCCCCCCGAAAAGCAGACAACAGACAAGCCGCCATTTTGTTAACCTAGTAAGAGGTGTATTGTTACGTAATCAGAATTGAGCAAAAAAGCTAACATAAAATTATGTTTAAAACTCAGAAAAAGTGCCATTGCGACAGTTGAATTGATATTACAAGTTAATGGGGATAATCGTTTATCTCGTGCACAGATTTTCAGCTGGTATTCACGATTCCAAAGTAGTGTGGAAATGATTACTAATGCAACTAGACCTAGATTCCCATTTTCTGAATTTTGCAATGAGGAAAATTCAGAGAACGTATACAAGAAGATCGTTGTTCGACTGTGAGGATGATAGTAGATGAATTACTTTCATGGCACACCGTTCACATCCATAGATGCATAAATACCCCCCCCCCTCCCCCCCCCCCCCCCCCCCCCCAAAAAAAAAAAAAACTAAGAATAAATGATTTTAACTAGGATGTTGTTGTTGTTTAATGTTTTTTTTTTCAAACCGTTTTCTGTGTATTACCAGTGGTTGATCCCCCAGAAATTAGTTTTCTGGAGTATACAGCCGATACATTATTGAGCTCAGAGGTAGGGAAAGACGGCAGAAGAGACGAGAACCCTCCTATCACAATCAATATAATGTAAGTATTTACACAAGTGAGTAGTATATAAGAGCGTTACGCACCGCATTTGGGAAAAGATAGGATTTCTCCAATGTAAGCTCTGGTAAATCACCTACACCTAAGAATTAGCAAAAGAAAAAAAATCATGGTCAAGGGCCAGCTGCTGATCGGGGGTGGTTGTGGCTATGGGAGCAGAGGATCCGAGGATTTTCATCGGGTGGGGCTGGGACTATTTTATGAGTTATATAGTAGAATAAAAATAAATAGTGGTATTAATTGGCTTGGCAGAGGGGGATATAAAATAAATGTTTAAATGTAGAAATACATAAAAGTGATAAAATAGAAGCATATGGTTCTAGATTTAGTAGAATAAAGAAAGACAGGGGCACCGATTGGGCTGGTGGAGGGGGGAAGAAAGTATATATTTTCTGTAGTAAAATATATAAAATTATTATAAAGGCTGGTGTCAGCTGGGGATGGGGACATTTTGTAGTCAAACAGCATCATCATTAGCAGCATCGAGTGCCATGTGACGGGGTCAGGGTCTGGCATCGGTTGTTAGCTGGTGAGCTGTGGCTATGCTTGTATGCAACTAGGCGGCAGTAGACTGTCGTCTACAAATACGCAGGTAGAGGTCATATAGTTCTATGACTTTATATAGTAAACATTTTTTTAAAAACTATGGCGAAATGGCGGGTGTCGTATCAATGTATTAGGTGTCTTTGGATCAATGAGTTGTCTAGTTGTTGTGTCAGCAA